TGTGGCCAATTGGGTGGGCATCGTCCATTGGGTCGGCGTGGCTGCAGTGGTAACGCCAGACTGGGTGGGACTAAAAAGTTCAATCAATTCCAACTTTGCGAGATCTTTTTTTTTACCGCGAGAAGTTGAAATTGATTGATTGAACCTTTTTTTTTTTTTGCACACGGTGGCAGAGGCCTAAAGCGAAAATATTTTATAAAACCCAGCTGAAGGCCTAGGACTGGGGCGACGGCGCGCATGCCCACAGAGGGGGCTCTGTGTGCCACCTGTGGCATGCGTGCCATAGGTTCGCCACCACGGTGCTAGGCACTTCCAAGCTGGGAATTTATCCATGTAGTCACCAGGAGTCAAGATTGACTTGAAGGCACAGGGAAAAAATTGCTGAACAGGTAACCTTCGGCTTACAACCAAAACTGAGCCTGGAATTTTGGTCATAAGTTGTTGTGTTTGTAAGTCAAGTCACCACATGACCGGAGTCATTTTTACAATGGTCATTAAATGCAATATCATGGCTTTCATGCAAATCACATGGCCATAAGTCCAAATCCAGTTTATCCAATGGGTGGGGTTTTTTTTTGCCAGAAAACAGCAAAAAAAGTCCAAAGATGCGATCATGTGACCTCAAGTTTCTACAACCTGTTGTAAATGTGAGCCAATTGCCAAGCGCTAGAAATGTGATGATCTGACTGCAGGGATGGTACGGCAGTCCTAACTGTAAGGACGGGTCATAAGTAACTGGTTTTTGAGTCCATTGTAACTTTGGTCTTTAGGCAACTGGTTCTGAAGTCAAAGATTACTTGTAATTTACATATTTAATCATTTTCCCTTCTGTGGGAAGTTAACCCAGAGAAGGAAATATTAAAAAGGCAGGAAAAATATTGTTCACCAAGAGGACTTTTAAAAGCATTTTTTTGAAAAGCAGAAACCAAACCTGGCCTCATCTTTTTGCCCAGGGCAGTAGCTAGTCTTATACATATGCAGATGTGGAACCATCAGGAAGTTTGGAGCCAGGGATCTCAAGACAAAAGAAGCTCTTAAGAGTCATTAGCCCCATCACCTGGGAAGCAGGATATGATAATGGGATTAAACCACAGATATCAAGGCCTAGAAAAACACTCAGAAATAGCCTCAAAGTTCATGCCANGTTCATGCCACAGGAACAGGAAACTACTCCAAGCAGGGCTGGGAGGGGGTATAAAAAGGCCTTCTACCCATGTGCTCTCTCTCTTTTCTTCTCCTCTGCTGCTTATCTGTCTTCTGCAATAAACTGTAACCTTCTTCCCAAAGCAGTCGCCATGTTTGCTTATTTATTCCCGGCTTGGATGAACCAGGATGAAGACTTACTTCTAACACTTCTATTAACAATAACAGTTATAAATTGATTATTACTTTGGAGGAGCTGCTGGCTGCCCCTAAAACGTTGGGCATAATATTATCCTCGGAGGCCACTTACACCCCAGTTTACTTTTAAAAAACCATAGTTAATGTTTGTTTGGGGGGGTGTATAAAATCCATATTTTTAACTTCAAACTCATGATAGAACTAGATGAGATTTAATGTCACAGTGAGTCTGTAGGAGTCAAGAAACATTCTGCTGTTTGCAAAATGATTCATCTGCACCTCTGATCACATGCCTGGCAGATAACAGGAAATGTCAGGGGTATGTAAGAAGCAATGGAAATTTGTTTGACGGTTTTGTCAGCTTTATAATATTCCATATCACGCTTTTTCTCCATGGAACTCAGCATTTCTCCATGGAACTCCCCTTTTCTTTTATGAAACCTGAAATTATCAGAATATTGGATTTGCTTTGTTATATATACTGTTCCACTACCTTGAGTAGTTTCTTTCTTTTTTTTTCTTTTTCTTTTTTTTGTGATTTCTAAATATGCTTAGTTCTGATGGGGATTTTTTTTTTTCCTTGGGGCTTTTGGAGGAAAAAATGGGAGACTGAAAAGCAGAACCAACGATTGTGGTGAATAATAAAGAGCCGGTGAGTAAACCAGCTCTTCAGAACTTTTGTGGTCAAGGAGAGGACAGGAGATTGCCCACATGAGCTCTAAACAGTTGTTGCTTACAAGGAGATCAGAAGACAGTTGTCCCTGCTGGGTTCTGAGTACTGGGAAATAACAGAAATAACCGTCTTGCTCACAACCACAGTCGACGCCTTTTAAAAGACATTATGTTCATAAACTTCCCTTTTTAATCACGTTTAGATATTGCTTGTTAACTATTTTTTAAGATATTAGAGACCTAAAAATACACTGTAATTAATTGGGAATATAAAATGACACAAACTATTTGAACATTGAAAACACCAAAGGACATTTGGAGAAATAGATCCAGAAGTTAGTATAATGTCAATATCAATGTTTGCTTCTATGCTTAGACATGGTCCCAAAAAATGTTACAAAAAAAACCAGCAAACGAGGAACAAGTTTTTATTTGGCAAGACAAGAGACCAAAAGTGAGGCTGCAAATAACTACAAGAATGACATGAAAAAGGACAACTCTCTGTACCTACTGGCTGAAGAAACTGGCTGATGCTTTAAAAATCAAAAGAGAAATTCACAAAATAAACCAAAAGAGTGACCTGGATATTTTTTTTTATTGGATTTACAAAAGAGGCTTGTTAAAAAAAAATTTTTAGAATCTTGTGAGAAAAATCAAGAAAAGAAATCAAATTCTATGGACTAAAGATTAAGACTGTTAAAAGTAAAAGGAAGGAATATAACATTGGTTTCTTTGATCAAGTTTAAATTAAGATATGTTGGTATTTCTGGCTAGCCTTATTTGGACTTTCTGCTAGAACTGAAAAGATGATGCATTATGGATTTCTCTATACATAAAAACTGGGTCAGATAAAGAATTAAAAGACGGTGAAGCATTACAAAAACCTTTTATATTTGTTATGATGAAGGTTGGAAGTAATTTATGCATTTTCTTTCTCTTAATTATATTCTTGCTTTTCTTTCTTTTTTTCCCATTTTCTGCGCTTTTTTCCTTTTTTTCTCTTTTTTTCTATATCTTTGCATTTTCACTTTTACTTTCTTTTTATTTGTATTAGATTTGATTATTGTAACTAAAATCCTTAATAAAAATTACATTTATTGGAGGGTGGTTTTTTGTTTTTTGTTTGTCTCGTGGCTAAGTTGTTGCTCTCTTACACATTTTTTGTGAAGTTGTTCCCTCAACTTCAAGATTCTGACAACTAATTCCCTTTTGGTATTCAGTGTTTCTATTTCAGTTCTGGTTTTATCCCATTTTTCACTCTTAAGAAAGTCTCATTGTATTCAACCACACTATAACCCTAAGAATACAGCTATGCAGTTGAAGAGTGTTAGCTTGTTTCTTACTTGTTTTTATTGTGTTTCAGGATTTGGGTCCAAAAGTGAACAGACTTAATTTGGTGCAAAGGATTAGTCCATTAGTGTGAGAAAGTGGCAAGAAGGACACAAGCAACAGGGAGAAAGCAGAACTCATTTTTTGCATCCATCTTTACACAAAGGGAAAAAACAGTCCAACCTATCAAAAACAGTACCATTAAAAAACAGATTAGAAACACAATTTAAGATAGGCAAGAAAATGGTGACTATTTGTCTACCTTAGATGAGTTCAAATCACCAGGACCAGATGGACTAGACCCCAAGGTTCTGAAGGAACTGGCAGATGTGACCTCAGAACCACTGAACTATATCTTTCAGAGATCGTGGAGCACCGGGGAACTACCAGAGGACTGGAAAAGAGCTGATGTAGTTCCCATCTTCAAAAAAGGGGAAAAAAATGGATCCAGGAAACTACAGACCTATCAACCTGACCTAAATACCTGAGAAGATTCTGGAAAAGATAATCCAGCAAAGAATTGGCAAACACCTAGAGGCAAACAAAGTCATAACCAAAAGCCAACATGGGTTTGTCGAAAACAGAGCATGCAAGACAAATCTTATTGCATTCTTTGACAAGTGGACCAGAGAAATGCTGTGGATATAATTTACTTGGACTCCAGTAAGGCATTTGATAAAACAGACCACAACCTACTACTTGATAAGAGAAGAATGTGAGTTAGACAGCATCACCACCAAATGGATTTGTAACTGACTGAGCAACTGCGCTCAATGTGTAGTCCTCAATGGAATCTACATGGAGAGAAGTATGCAGTGGTGTACCCCAAGGCTCTGTTTTAGGCCCATTACTCTTCAATATCTTCATCAATGATTTGGATGAAGGGATATATGGGGAACTCATCAAATTTGCAGACGACACCAAGCTGGCAGGAATAGCCAACACTCCAGAATATAGGCTTAAGATACTGGAGGATCTTAACAGACTTGAACATTGGCGCTATCTAACAAAATGAAATTCAATGGTGAAAAATGTAAGGTTCTACATTTAGGCATGAAAAACCAAATTCACAGGTATAGTATAGGTGGTACCTGGCTCAATAGTAGTAACTGTGAGAGGGATCTCAGAGTCCTAGTGGACAATCCCTTAAATATGAGCCAGCAGTGTGCTGCAGCTGCCAAAAAAGCCAACACAGTGCTAGGCTGCATTAACAGAGGGATAGAATCAAGATCACGTGAAGTGTTAATACCACTTTACAATGCCTTGGTAAGGCCACACTTGGAATACTGCATAAACTAGTTTTGTGTACCTCCTTCATTGTTCTTGTTTAAGTATTTATTTAGACGAAAGATTATTGAGGATTGCTATGATTGATTTAGTTGTATTGTAATATATCAATTTGAATATAATATGTCATTGGAGGGAAAAGAGAGGAGGTTTTTAATGACTTAATCTGAACTTTATGAATATGACTTTGTTTTGTGGACAATTGATTGCCCTGCCACCACGTTGTTTCTTAAGCACTTGTTTGTGCTTAAGAATGAAAAAACCAATAAAACTTGTTTAAAAAAAAAGAGAGATAATAGATAATGCTTCTTGTTTCTCCACCACTTCCTTGCGGCCCAGGCCTGATGATCTTCCCTGGTTTATCTTGGCAGGTGAAACCCCGCATCGTCATGGAGCAATTGCTCTGGGTCAGCGGTGGTGCAATCGGGGAGGTGGACACGTTCAGGATCCCTCTCATCACCGCGACGCCTTACGGCACCCTGTTGGCCTTTTCGGAAGCCAGGAAGACTTCTTCTTCTGACAGTGGAGCTAAATTCATAGCCTTTCGCAGATCGACAGACAAAGGTTTGTGAGGCTAAGAAGCAGGAGGGAATGGAATAGACCAGTGGTGGCGAACCTATGGCACGCGTGCCAGAGGCGGCGGCACTCAGAGCCCTCTCTGTGGGCACGCGCGCCATGTCCTGGAGATGGCAACCGTCCCTCTTCAACCAGCCGCCTGCTAACTCATCGAGGTCCCTCATGGTCGGATGCATCCCAGCACAGTTGGTTTCCCTCTCCCCCCCCCCCCGTTCCATTCCTCCTGGCCTTGCATGCTCTCCTTTTCCCGGGCACAACCCACTGCATCGCCTCCTCAGCTATCGGCCGGCCGGCCAGCTTCTCTGAATGCTGGCGGCAGGCTGTGGAGCTGCTGACAGACACTGTCGGCCCCATGCGCTCGCTGGCCTCTGTGTGTGGGGGCTGATGGTATCAGGCAGCAGCCGCCCCGGCCCCTGCCTCACCTTACCTCGCCTCACCCTGCAGGACGAGCCTCCTGCCCACCGCCCCACCTGCCAGAGACCCCCTGGATCTCTCCCAACCCTGCCCAGTCCCCACAGGGGTCCCTCCCCACGATCAACATCGAGGTGACCACGCCCACCTTGGCCATACCCACCCAGTCTGCCATGACCACCACAGCCACGCCCACCCAGTGGGCCACCTGGCACCCGGCAATAAATAAGTGGGTTTTGGGTTGCAGTTTGGGCACTCGGTGTCTAAAAGGTTCGCCATCACTGGAATAGACTGTGGTCTGTGTCTCAGTGGTAGAAGTCTAGGGGTGTTGGCAGATGCCTGCAGAGAAGCAACTAGAGGTGTAATTCTTGGGGATGATCCTGATTTCATCTAGAATCATAGAATCACAGGGCTGGAAGAGACCTTGGAGGTCTTCTGGTCCAACCCCCTGCTCTATTTAAAACAGTGCTTCTCAACCTTGTCAACTTTAAGCCGTGTGGACTTCAACTCCCAGTTTTTCCCAGCCAGAAAGCTTAAAGTTGACACAGTTGGAGAAATGTTGGTGTACAAAGTTTCCAACGATGTTCTGTGTTTATGGAATTTACAACCAGCTTTTCAGTCATCAGTCCATAATGTGGGCGCCTCCGAATGTTGTAGAATTACATCTCCCAGTTACACCCACCATCCCGTTATTACTGAAGCGGGGTGGCTCTATTGGAAGAAGCCTGGGTGTAAATTGGGAAAATCGCCTTAATAATTATATTAAGTCATAAGTCATAAACCTTTTTTAGTTGCTAAATCAGGGTTCTTCAAACTTGGCCCTTTTATGACTTGTGGACTTCAGCTCCCAGAATTCTTCAGCCAGGCACACCGGCTGAGGAATTCTGGGAGTTGAAGTCCACAAATCATAAAAGGGCCAAGTTTGAAGACCCCTGTGCTAAAAAAAATGGCTGTAAGTCAAGGACTGTCTATAATTACATTATACTACTCTGAGTTTGACTTGAATAAAATTGTAGGGTGTTGGGGTGGAGCTTATTGGTCTGTTCAACATTTCTTCCCTTTCCCCCATCCCCCAGTTCCTCTTTCTAGTATAATTCAGACCCTGAGTAGAAATATAGGTAATCCTCGACTTATGACTGCAAATGAGCCCAGAATTTCCATTGCTAAGCAAGAGAGTTGTTAAGTGAGTTTTGCCTCATTTTACAACCTTTCTAGCCACAGTTTTTAAGTGAATCATCACAGTTGTTAAGTTAGTAACAGGGTTGTAAAGTGAATCTGGCTTCTCCATTGACTTTGCTTGTCAGAAGGTCACAAAAAGTGATCACATGACCCCGGGACACTGCAGCCATCGTAAATACAGGCCAGTTGCCAAGCATCCAAATTCTGATCATGTGACCAGGGAGATGCTGCAATGGTCGTGAGTGTGAAAAGCGGTCATAAGTCACTTCAGTTCCATTGTAACTTTGAACAGTCACTAGACTAGACAAATGGTTGTAACTCGAGGATACCTGCAATCCAAGAGGAGGATGGTATCCGACTGAAAAAGCCTGGCCTGTGTAGAGCAGAGAAATGTAATCCATGATCTGCTTGTCCTTCTAGGTGCCAACTGGAGTCCAACTTCGTTCATAGTTGATGATGGTTCCCTCAAAGATGGTCTCAACCTTGGAGCTGTGGTGGTAGATTGGGAAAAGGACGTGGTGTTCTTGATATATACTCTCTGTGCACACTACTACGGATGCTCCACCGCCAGTGTCATGATAATCCGCAGCTTGGATGACGGGATCACATGGAGTCGTCCCCGGAACCTCTCTGAGGAAGTTGGCACAACCATGTTTGCGCCCGGACCAGGCTATGGCATCCAGGTGAGGCTACACATCGAACATAGAGGTGGTAAGAACGTGCTGAATTATTTGCTGTTTTTATTACCCCGTTTATACATGTTACAGTGATGGTGTAGGACTGGAATAGAACAATAGCTGTAGCATTGGGATCAATGCTAATATTGACCCGTATCAACTGCCATTTTACAAAAGAACAAATTTCTGCCACCCCTCCCAGGTAAACCAGAGAGCAAACGGGACTAGATGAACTAATTCTGCTTCGTTGTATAAGGCTACGTTAACAAAATAATAATAATAATAAAGTTGGAAGGGACCTTGGAGGTCATTGAGTCCAACCCCCTGCTCAGGCAGGAAACCCTATACCATTTCGGACAAATGGCTGTCCAGTCTCTTCTTAAAAACTTCCAGTGTTGGAGCATTCATCACTTCTGGAAGCAGGTTGTTCCATTGGTTAATTGTTCTAACTGTCAGGAAGTTTCTCCTTAGTTCTAGGTTGCTTCTCTCCTTGATTAGTTTCCATCCGTTGCTTCTTGTCCTGCCTTCAGGTGCTTTGGAGAATAGCTTGACTCCCTCTTCTTTGTGGCAACCCCTGAGATATTGGAACACTGCTATCATGTCCCCCCTCGTCCTTCTCTTCGTTAAACTAGACATACCCAATTCCAGTAGCCTTTCCTTATATGCTTTAGCCTCCAGTCCCCTAATCATCTTTGTTGCTCTTCTCTGTACTCTTTCTAGAGTCTCAGCATCTTTTTTACATCGTGGTGACCAAAACTGGATGCAGTATCCCAAGTGTGGCCTTACCAAGGCATTGTAAAGTGGTATTAACACTTCACCTGATCTTGATTCTATCCCTCTGTTAATGCAGCCTAGCACTGCGTTGGCCTTTTTGGCAGCTGCAGCACACTGCTGGCTCATATTTAGGTGATTGTCCACTAGGACTCCGAGGTCCCGCTCACAGTTACTACTATTGAGCAAGGTACCCCCTATACTATACCTGTACATTTGGTTTTTCTTGCCTAAATGTAGAACCTTACTTTTTTTCACCATTGAATTTCATTTTGTTAGATAGCGCCCAGTGTTCAAGGCTCTCAAGTCTGAAAGGGTCAGCTTTCCGTTACTACTTTTAACTGCTTGATCCATTGGGGTGGGTCCTTGCTAAGTTTCTTCCCCTGACCATTAGGCCACTGAGGCTCCCGCCTCTCTTGTCTGATTGTTTCCTAGGCAGCACCTCCTCCCCTCTTTCCCCAAGGTCATTCACACATGCCATCCTCAGGTTGCAATATGGAAAAGCATACAGGTCTGGTGACAGGTGTTTGGCTGGATTGTCAGTACTTTGTACAACTTCCCTGTTACTTATTTCCCCTCCTGTGATGGATATAAAGCGATATGGAGGTGGTACTAACACCACGCAAATTAAAATCAAATAGATGTTAAATATACAAATATTTGCTGGAGGTGCGAGAAAGAGATTGGAACATATAAACATATGTGGCGGGATTGTGACAGCGCACAAAAGATATGGGACATGGTGTTTAGGGAAATTAGAGAACTTTTGAAGGTAAATTTAGACATGTCACCGAGGATCGCATTACTGTTACTGGTGGAAAAACAAGATATAAATGAAGCAAAAAAAAGGAATTGATCGTAAATTTGATAATGGCAGCTAGAATAGTGATGGTTAAGTATTGGAGATGGAATTGGGATATTCAAAGAAATGAGCGGTATAATGAAATATGGAATATGGCAATAAATGATAAATTAAATTTTAAAAAGGGATGATTAAAGTAAACAATTATAATGAAATATGGGATGATTTTATAAAAACAGTCTTGGTGGAAGGCAAAGGGAATAAACCTGCTCAAGAATACATGCTGTTTTGGAGGGGATAAAGGCACAATATTGAAATATGTTGTATATTGTTAGTTGTTATATGAGATGAAATATAGGTAATAAAAATGGTCTCCAGGGGTGTGGGTGCACTGTAGTATTTGTATTTTTTTATACTGTTTTTTATTTAGATTTATATGTGTTATGTTTGTATTATTTGTATTTGAATAAAATAATTTTTTTAAAAAAAATTCCCCTCCTGTGATTAACACAGCCTTGATCTTAACTCTGACACAGAGTTAATACTTGGGTTAATCCCCTCCTGTGACTAAAAGTAAATACTTCATTTCATAGCCATCTATATCAGAGTTCCCCAGCATTTCCGTCTTTGCAGACTGGAGGGGGGGGAGGGGATTGTTTCGTGCAAGTGGCTGGCAAGCGCACACATCTTCATGCAGCTCCATTTGCGCAAGCACCATGCACGCGGGCCAACCGCTCACTTAAAATGAAGCGCATGCGCGCTCCCCCGCTGCTTGTCCAATTGAGAATGTGCGTGCGTTTCTGTGGCCTGGTTGCAAACCCCTCACAGTCTAATAGTGGGCCATAGCCTGCAGGTTGGGCACCCCCAGATCTATATTATGGAAATGTCTGTCAATTATGTAATTTCTTGAACTCATAGAATCACGAATCGTAGAATGTAATTTTGGAAAGGATCTTGGAAACCACCTAGTCTAATGCTTTGTCTATTGTGGAAATCTACTGCTACCCTATGTTATTTTTGTTCAATCGCTAAGTTGTGTCTGACTGCTCACAACACCATGGACCATAGACTGCCAGGCTCCACTGTCCTCCACTGTCTCCTAGAGTTTGCCCAAATTCATGTTCATTGCATCAGTGACACTATTTAACTGTCTCAACCTCTGCTGTCCCCTTCTCCTTTTGTCTTCCATCTTTCTTAACATCAGGGTCTTTTCCAGTGAGTCTTCTCTTCTAACTTGGTGGCCAAGCTTCAGCAGCTGTCCTTCCAAAGAACAGTCAGGGTTAATTAACGAAGATGATTAGGGGACTGGAGGCTAAAACCTATAAGGAACGGTTGCTGGAATTGGCTATGTCTTGTTTAATGAAGAGAAGGGAGAGGGGGGACATGATAGCCGTGTTCCAATATCTCAGGGGCTGCCACAAAGAAGAGGGAATCAAGCTATTCTCCAAAGCGCCTGAAGGCAGGACAAGAAGCAACGGATGGAAACTGATCAAGGAGAGAAGCAACTTAAAACTAAGGAGAAACTTCCTGACAGAACAATTAACCAATGGAACAACCTGCCTCCAGAAGCGGTGAATGCTCCAACACTGGAGGTTTTTAAGAAGAGATTGGACAGCCATTTGTCTGAAATGGTATAGGGTTTCCTGCCTGAGCAGGAGGTTGGACTCGATGACCTCCAAGGTCCCTTCCAACTTTATTATTATTATCATTATTATTATTATTATTATTATTATTATTATTATTATTATTATTATTATTATTATTATTATTATTATTATTATTATTATTATTATTATTATTATTATTATTATTATTTCCATTAGGACTGACTGATTTGATCTCCTTGCAGTACAAGGGACTCTCAAGAGTCTTCTCCAGCATCAGCTACTACATTATACCTGGTAGAAAATTATCCATCCATATCCAGAATATGTTTAACCATATTCCAAGAAGACTAATCATTAACAAGGCATAGATAATCCAGTTCTAATTGTTGGAGGAGAGGAAAAAAAGATACTTATAAGAAATGTGGGCATGAAGATATCAAAATCCATAGAACTCTCCAGATATATGGACACGAGCATCTATAGAAATCAGGCACTGATGTATAATTTATGTAGAAATAAGATTTATTCCTTCATATATGTATACACCTCTCTCTCTCTCACACACACACGCACAGTTTACAGAAATAAGGTACAGATGTGGAATTAAATAGGTTAAGCATACAAAAAAAATAAGGTGCAAGTACAGAAATTTTAAAAAGCTAGAACACTGGAGATAATATAGAAATAAGAAATGGAAGCCCAGTTACAGAAATCTAGAAGTAAACAGATAAACCTTCAGTTTGGTTTGCAGAGCAACGAAAGCTCCCTTGCAGCAAAAAAAGAAATAAAATGTACTTCTTGTTTGTGGCCTGTTTCATTCCTAAGAAGAACCTGTCAAAGTGATTGCAAGATCATGCAATGCACAGCTCACTGGGTGAAGGGCATATTTTTAAGATGTCGTACAAAACTTTCTCTGGTAGTAAGTTGTTAAACTTCTGCTAAAGGAACAGCTGGAGTTAAATAGAATCTGTTGCAATGGAGGGGAGGGGAAAGGCCATCCCAGATCAGCTATTGAAAAAAGCCTTTCCCCAATCTTAAGCAGAGGCAGCATTTTCATAGAAGAACGAAGTGCGCCCTTGCCTTTCCCTTTTGAGAAAGGGATGGAGGAGAGAAGAAGAGCAGTGCAGTGGCAAAGGAAATAGCAATTAAGTGCTCACGTTCCTAGCTGACATGCCCAGTAAACCAGAGAAGACCCACGGTGTTGCTTCCAAGCAGAGTTCTTTATTGCTCCATACCAGGGGTAGGCAACCTTGGCTCTTTTATGACTCGTGGACTTCAACTCCCAGAATTCCTGAGCCAGCCATGCTGAGGGAAAAGGGAGAGGTTTCCAAGCTGAGCCATGCTGGCTCAGGAATTCTGGGAGTTGAAGTCCACGAGTCATAAAAGAGCCAAGGTTGCCTACCCCTGCTCCATACCTATACACAGAATCTTGCCAAACTGAAGCACTCTGCTATCTACATCAAGCATCTACTCTGAGAACATTAGTGTCGGAGAGAGACTGGCTGAGCCAGGGGGAGGAATCAAGTGGGGAATTAGTCTGGAATTTCTACATAGGCACAAGTGGGCAAGGTCCGACTCTCCCCCTGAATGCCGTTGAACCTTATCCAGAGAAGATTCCTGAGTTACAGGGATGAGCAATAAAGTAGCTAATTGAACTCTTCACATGTGGATCTGGTTGTCCATGCCTGAGAGTTAGAGAGCTGATGTCTTCACCCTCTTCTCTCACACAACATATCTGGACTGTCTTGTCATTCCTCTGAAATGCACCTCTTCCCACTTTGGGGATCCAGTCCACTATATCCCACCACACTAACCAATCTGTCCTGGTTTGCAGAAACGCTACGAGCCCAAGAAGGGACGCTTGATCGTTTGTGGTCATGGGACTTTAAAGCTGGACGGGATCTCCTGCCTCCTCAGTGATGACCACGGCATGACCTGGCTTTACGGGAGACAGCCCTTGCATGGCATCCCTTACGGACTGCAGAAGAATTACAGTGACTTTAATCCTGATGAATGCCAGGTCAGTATAACTGTGACGGTCGAACCTTGGCTATTTGGGTATGATGTCTCATGAAGAATCAAAGAAGGCACTGATTTAGAACATAATTTGTAGATGGTGGACATTTATACCCGACTTTAGGGAAAATATGAGAGAACCACTGAGCAAGCTATTAAGGAGGAACTTGAAGAACAAATTACCCAGATCAGAGATTGAAGAAAACCGTGAGAAAGAAACACTAATCAAGGCAGGGCTAGTGTTTGTTTCTCATGATTTTCTTCCGTCTCTGACCTGCATAATTTGTTCTTCAAGTTTGCTATAAGGAAGGACAGGACAAAGACTTGGGACAGGTTTTTCAGGATTGTTTTCAGCTCTTCAAGCTAGGCCCAGTCAGGAAACAGACATTGCAGGAATTTCAGAAATGCTATTTTATTGTTGTGAGGAATACATCAGTAATCTTGAAAGCCCAAACAAATGTCTCTGTGTCCCCTCTTAGGAAATAAAATCAAGGTGAGTTGTTTTGAGTTTCTGTCTCACACTTCCTTCAATCTGTGGACTGTGTAATCCCTTCCTTCCTTCCTTCCTTCCTTCCTTCCTTCCTTCCTTCCTTCCTTCCTTCCTTCCTTCCTTCCTTTCTTTTTCTTTCTTTCTCTTTCTTTCTTTCTTTCTTTCTTTCTTTCTTTCTTCTTTCTTTCTTTCTTTCTTTCTTTCTTTCTTCTTTCACAGCTCAATCTCTTCCTTTCTGATCAGCAACTTTTACATTTTTCCCAGGGTCAGTTCTACATTCCTTTTAGAATTGCAATATTCTAAATATTGCACAAGATTATCTCAGGTTATACTGTAGTTGTAGGATTCCAGAGGATTTCTGTTAAATGGAAAGTTAGTAAGTTCTCTACATTTTAAATGGATTTAAAAGAGAAAGGCAAACTGGACTGTAGCCTTCTTCATATTTCCAGAAAAGGAGCTTGAAACCCAGGCAATGTAATCCTGTATAAATTCATTCAGAATTTCATCCCGGTGAGTTCAGGAGGACTCAGAAAGGATGCCATACGAGAATAGATTGAAGATTACTGCAAGAGGGTCCCTAGAATTTGGCAGGCTAGCTCAGGGGTAGGCAACCTTGGCTCCTTTTATGACTCGTGGACTTCAACTCCCAGAATTCCTGAGCCAGCCATGCTGAGGGGAAAGGGAGAGGTTTCCAAGCTGAGCCATGCTGGCTCAGGAATTCTGGGAGTTGAAGTCCATGAATCATAAAAGAGCCAAGGTTGCCTACCCCTGAGCTAGGGACTTAAGCCAAATTGTGGAGTGCAGATGCTCTACTACAGTGGTGGCGAACCTTTGGCACGCGTGCCAGAGGTGGCACTCGGAGTCCTCTCTGTGGGCACACGTACCGTTGCCCCAGCCTCGCCTCCCTCCACAACCCCCTCACCAGCAGCCCCCTGGAGGAGAGTCGCCCCCGAGCGTGGCCCACACGGAGCAGCACAGCCAAGGACATGGCAGCCAGGCAGCGTAGACAAGACTCTGCCCTCATGCCTCATCCCGCACAGTTGATGCTGCAGGGCGCAGGCAAAGGGCGTGGCCGCCATGACGCTGCTGGGCTGCCTGGGTGATCTGCGGTGGGCGCTGGAGGCGGTGAGTGGCAGGTGGGGTGGGGGATGGGGTGGGGTGGGGTTGGAGATGGGGTGGAGCGGGGACGGGGCCAGTTTTTGGGCACTCAATCTCTAAAAGGTTCGCCATCACTGCTCTACTATATTTTGATGTGATGCCTCAGCTGTTTCATGGGACTGATACACGGGCATCTCTTCATTTTCTGAATGGTTCTGGAGACATGGACTCCGTGGACCCGGTCCTAATGACCTGCCAATACTATAGTGACACATGTTGACAACTTATGCCAATTCGTCTACCTATAGGTACTCCATGATTTACAACATTCATTTAGTGACCATTTGAAGTTACAGTGGCACTGAAAAAAGTGACTCATGACCGTTTTTCACACTTAAGACCATTGCAGCATCCCCATGGTGATGTCAAAATTCAGATGCTTGCAAAATTCAGATGTTCATATTTATGACGGTTGCAGTGTCCTTGGGATCACGTGATCACTTTTTGTGCAAGCCAAGTCAGTGGGGGAAGCCAAATACACTTTACAACCTCGTTACTAATTTAACAACGGCAGCGATTCACTTAACAAATGTGCAAGAAAAGTTGCAAAATGGGGCAAAACTCAACACATTTCTCACTTAGCCACAGAAATTTTTCCTTTCTGTGGTCATACGTTGAGGACTTACCTGTACTGTATTTTATAACTTGAGCCATAGATAGCCCAGAATCCTATGTACAGGTAGTCCTCGATTTACAATCATTTTTTTAGTGACCGTTCAGCACTGCAAAAAATGACTTATGACTGTTTTTCACACTTACGACCTAGCAGTATACCCGTGGTCATGTGATCAAAATTCAGACTAACCAACTGGCATGTATTCATGACGGTTGCAGTGTTCTTAGGGTCACGTGATCACTTTTTGTGCAAGCAAAGTCAATGGGGGAAGCCAGATTCACTTTACAACCCTGTTACTAACTTAACAACGGCGATGATTCACTTAACAACTGTGGCAAAAAAGGTTGTAAAATGGGGCAAAATTCACTTAAGAGCTGTCTTGCTTAGCAACAGGAATGTTGGGCTAAATTGTGGTTGTGAGTCAAGGGCTACCTGCAATCCAGACAGATTTGTTTGTTTGTTTATTAAACGTATATGCCGCCCATCTTGTCAAAGCCGCCTCTAGGCAGCTCATTTGAGTAATTAAACTACAATTAGGAGTTATTTCTTTCTGGTGCATAACCTTTGATGGTTTAAACCAGTGTTTCTCAACCTTGACAATTTTAAGGCATGTGGACTTCAACTCCCAGAATTCCACAGCCAGCAATGCTGGCTGTGGAATTCTGGGAGTTGAAGTCCACATGCCTTAAAATTGTGAAGGTTGAGAAACACTGGTTTAAACTAACTGGCAATGCAAAGTGTGAGATCTTACCCAAATGAGGAGAGAAAGAGTACTGGTGTTTATCCCAAATCATCTTTACTTCATTTGCAGGCTCATGTCTTCTGTGTAGTAATCATTTAACTTTAAAAACCATGAGCCTAGTCATTGTGACCCACAAACCGTGGCAATAGAAAGTGTGAGACCCTGCCCAAATATACAGGAAGGAGAGAATGTTATCGCTTCTCCCTAAATCTTCTCAGCTTCATCGGTCTCCTTTTCTAACAGCCCTATGAGCTACCAGATGGCTCCGTGGTGGTGAACGCCAGGAATGAGAATTTCTACCACTGCAGATGCCGCATCGTGGTACGCAGTTACGATGGCTGTGAGACCCTTCCGCTGGAGAACGTGAGATTTGACGAGCATTTAGTGGATCCTGCAGTGGCTGCAGGGGCTCTTGTCAAATCTGGTCTGGTTTTCTTCACGAATCCAGCCCATCGTCAGTTGCGTGAGTAAAAAAAAATAATAATCAAAATATTGGGATTGTCTCTCTCTCTCTCTCTGTTTATATATTTGCACCTGGGCATACAAGTTGCACAATGCTACTGTTTGTTGGACCTTAGTGCAGAGGTTTCCAACCTTTTGGGTACCAGGGACCAGTTCCGTGGAGAGAGGTTTTTCCATGGACCGCAGGGGGCATGTTTTCATGTGCTGCCTGCATCCCACGGATGGGGCTTTGCTTGTTTGTGCAGACTGGTTGCTGGCATGCCGTGGCCCAGTACTGGTCCACGGCCTGGGGGGTTGAGACCCCTGCCTTAGTGTATTAAACCGCAATTGGCCAAATTCACTCAAACCGGTGGGGTGGGAAATGTTTTTGCTGATTCTTTTTTTCTTTATACAGCGGTGCTCTCCCTATACACGTTGAAAGGTCTGCAATTGTCAAGAACAAATTTTCATAGCTGTAATAGTTTTACTTGTTGCGTACTTATAACTAAGCACAGTAAAGAGATGTAGCCAGGGTGGGTGCGGCCTACTGGGTGGGCGTGGAGGGAGTGAGTGTGACCTACTGGGTGGGCATGGCCAGCTCTACATTGTTCACGTTAATGGTGCCTGTGGGGGCCTGGGCAGGAGTGGGACAGATCTGAGGGTCTCTGGCAGAAGGGGTTAGGACCGGGGCAAGCGCCAAGGCATGGTCCACTGGAAGAGCCTCACTGTTCCTCTCAGGCCATGTGGGGGGGGGCTGGATGGTGGTGCAGGCTGCCCAGAACCCTGGGCAGCAGAGGTCAAATGCCCAGCCTGGCCTTCGAGCACCCGTGGCACCAAGCCCAGCCCCACTTCCTCAAGGGGGCGCCCAGCTGCACTTACCTCCTCCTCAAGGCTGCCGCTGCTGTGCTTGCTCTCCTTAGCCAGGTTGCTCATGATGGGTACCAGGGCAAAGTCAGAGGGAGACTGAATGCGTTTCAGCATAGATGGCCACCACAAAATTGTACATTGGCTCCTGGCGGGCCGGCCTGGGCCAGGGCCAAAGCAGTGGGGGCCGTTCCCTTACTGTTTCCAGGATGGCTTCGCAGGCCACATGAAACCACTTCGCGGGCCGCATCCTTGTGTTTGACATGTCTGCTCTAAAGGAAAACAAACATTTTAATAGCGATGTGGTGGTCGGATAAATTAGATAAGAAAAATAGAGAAAGGTAGAGAGTTATTTTGATGATGTATTCCTGGAAAAAATGAGGTGGTAAGAATACTATTTCAAAACTGATACAAGTCACAGGATTTTTAAGGGGAACCTGAAAAAAAAAAAAAGCTCAGGCAATTGTCTAGAAATAACCTTAAAACCCCAAGGACAGATTACCTATCAGAAGATAGGACTTTTGACTTTCACAGTTTTATCTGTAAACACATCCTGAAATTCTTGGAAATGACTGGATCCCTTGAAAACTTTTCAAGAGGAATGTAGAATAACAGTGGGTGTGGGGGAGACACGTGAGAATTTGAAACGTTTAACCCATTGAACCTCTTGTTAATATATGCAGATACCGCTAAACCAGTGTTTCTCAACCCTGGCAACTTTTAAGATAAGGGGACTTCAACTCCCAGCCTGCTGGCTGGGGAATTATTATTATTATTATTAATAATAATAATAATAATAATAATAATAATAATAATAATAATAATAATAATAATAATAATAATAATAATAATAATAATAATAATAATAGTTGGAAGGGACCTTGGAGATCATCGAGTCCAACCCCCTGCTCAGGCAGGCACCCTATACCATTTCAGACAAATGGCTGTCCAGTTCCTTCTTAAAAACTTCCAGTGTTGGCGCATTCACCGCTTCTGGAGGCAGGTTGTTCCATTGGTTAATTGTTCTAACTGTCAGGAAGTTTCTCCTTAGTTCTAGGTTGCTTCTCTCCTTGATTAGTTTCCACCCGTTGCTTCTTGTCCTGCCTTCAGGCACCTTGGAAAATAGTTTGACTCCCTCTTCTTTGTGGCAGCCCCTGAGATATTGGAACACTGCTATCATGTCCCCCCTCGTCCTTCTCTTCGTTAAACTAGACATACCCAATTCCAGTTCCTTATATGTTTTAGCCTCCAGTCCCCTAATCATCTTTGTTGCTCTTCTCTGTACTCTTTCTGGAGTCTCAACATCTTTTTTACATCGTGGTGACCAAAACTGGATGCAGTATTCCAAGTGTGGCCTTACCAAGGCATTGTAAAGTGGTATTAATACTTCACGTGATCTTGATTCTATCCCTCTGTTAATGCAGCCTAGCACTGTGTTGGCTTTTTTGGCAGCTGCAGCACACGGCTGGCTCATATTTAGGTGATTGTCCACTAGGACTCCGAGGTCCCTCTCGCAGTTACTACTATTGAGCAAGGTACCCCCTATACTATACCTGTACATTTGGTTTTTCTTGCCTAAATGTAGAACCTTACTTTTTTCACCATTCACCATTTCTGGGAGTTGAAGTCCACACATCTGAATGTTGGCAAGGCTGAGAAATATAGGTAGTCCTCAACTTACAGCCATTCATGTAGTGACCATTTGAAGTAACCGCTTTATGCATTCTTTCCTTTCCCTTGCAGGGGTCAACCTGACTCTGCGCTGGAGTTTCACCAACGGGTCTTCTTGGTGGAAAGAGCCCTTGCTGATCTGGAGAGGCTCCAGCGGCTATTCCTCCATGACAGCCCTGGAGGGAAATTCTCTGGGGGCCGATCACTGTCTCTTTATCATTTACGAGAAGGGCGAGGTCGAATATACAGAAAGCATCTCCGTGGCCAAGATTAGCCTCAACGGGCAGCTCTGATCATCCTTCCTGGGCTTTTTAAAACATTTTCAAAGTTTGTCATTGCAGGGAAAGGAAAATCTGTGCTGAGACTGGGGAGAAACCAAATGAACTGCTGTTGGGGGGGGGGAGTCTAAAGAATGCAATGGAAGGACACGGGTAGAGCTTGGGCATGTCCCAGCAGAAGTCGGAGCGGCTTTAGAAGACCACCTATTTATTCTCAAGTCATGCCCTGCACTTCTCTTTGTGCCTGCCTAATGGGCAACACACCCCTGAACCTCTCTTTTTATTTTTTTCTGGCCTTCTGAGGAAGAATCTGTTTTCCTGTGCTTTTCTCACGTTGATGAACGTGTGTGTGTAGATTTACAGAAATTGTGGGTAGATCGGGTAGGGATGGGCAGCTCCCTGGAAGAAAACACAAAGGCAGACTCGATCCGATTGGTGAAGGCTAAATTTATGCACTTTCTATTGACTTTCTCAAAAAAAAATAAAATAGAATCAGGCGCAGAAGGTGTTACTTGCTCGACCCCCACTAAAATCCACATGAGTGTGCCTGAGGGTTTGGGAGCAGAGGGTGCAGGAGAGCAAATCCCTTTTTCTTCTGCGTTGCCAACATCTGTGATTTCAAATGAATGTATTTAAAACCCGTTTCCCCATTTTTCTGATGGGACAGGTTGCCTGTGCGGCTTACAAAAACGTTGGGTCATGAATTTTAGAGCAGGGCTTTTCAACTTTTTCACCCATTGTACCACTTTTAGGATATGGCAATATCCGAGTACCACCAGTCGCCTAGCAAGGGGTCAAAAACTTGATGTCCAAAAAAAGGAAAAAAGTGATAAAGTACAGGTAGTCCTCGGCTTACAACAGTTCGCTTAGTGACTGTTTGAAGTTACAATGGCACTGAAAAAAGTGCCCCCCAAGCCACAGCCGAGCAAGACACCTGACTGCCCACCCGGTGGCGCTCTTCCTCCTGTCCGAGGTTTTCATTGTTGTGAGCATTTCTGTTGGGGATTGGCAGTGGGGGTGGGGTGGGGGGGTGTTTGGTTTTTATTCCCCCCGTCTGCTGGGTGGTTGCAGCAGGTTTTGGTCACTTCACGTGACCCTGGGACACTGTGACCATCATAAATATGAATCAGTTGCCAAGCATCTGAATGTAAATCACAAGACCCTGGAGAGGCTGCAACATTCCAGCTGATCGGCGCTTCTTCTGAGCTCAGCAGAAGCACCAGGATCAGCGCCGAGCTCCAGCTGGACCCTGGCGCTGATCCTGGCGCTTCCACTGAGCCCTGACAGCCCCGAAGAAGTGTCGATCAGCTGGAAAGCGGCACTGATCCTGGCGCTTCCGCTGAGCCCTGACAGCCCTGCAGCTCCAGCCATCTCTCGCTCAGTCTTGTGCGGTGCTGCCACCGGTTCAGCTCATTCCCCTCCCCCGCTACCACTTTTCTAGGATGGTCGTGTGTCACCTGCCAGGTGCCAATGTACCACAGGTGGTACCCGTACCACTGGTTGAAAAGCCCTGTTTTTGAGCACAAAAAAGGGGGGGCAGGCAGGGTGGCAAACAGATGACAGTTTTGAGGTACATTTGTAAACATATTTATGGAGATTCTCAGTCATCCAGGTCATGGTTGTCCCAAAGGTGCTTTTTCAAGAGGCAACTGGACTTCCTTTGTTTTTCCTTGAAGACGTTTCGCTTCTCATCCAAGAAGCTTCTTCAGTTCTGGCTGAAGTCCAGTTGGCTCTTGACAAAGCATCTTTGGATTGTAAAAATATTCTTCACTGAAATGAGCTGTTTGCATCTACTATTTCTCTGCCGATGGATTGCAGGAATTAATAATCCATGCCCCCACCTCCAAAATAAAACCCTTAGTTTTTACTCCTCCAGTACCTCAACATCAGCAAAATGGCTGCATTTTGGTGGCCTGTCTTTTAAGGACGGATTGTCAGTGGTTTGTACCCCATAGATTTTGTTCCCTTTTCTACCCTAAACATTCCAAGTTTACCAACCTAAAGCTGTAAAGTTTGAGAAATGCTGCTCTAACCAGTTAGAGTGTTTACCCTTACTTATATTTTAATGATGAATCTTCATGGATGTGTTTCTTTATGCCATAAAGTTGTGGCCACTTTGGGCTAGAGGATAATCTACACACATTCTGCTTTTCATTCACACAGCTCTTTGTGAGTCGATATTGAGAACTTAGTCCTCCAGCTATGTCCTCTATAAAGTCCATACCGTGACTGTGTGAATCAGTTTAGCCCTCCAGGCAATTATTTTTCCCCCTTTTCCTTTAATGTGCAATCTTATTTGATGGGTCAAGTTTTGGGAAATTGATTTTTTAAAATTATTGGTGGGATAGTCATTTTGTTTTCAACATTTTTTTATTAATTGATTGGTTATTAAACCATCAAAGTCATTTTTGATGTGGGTATTAGGAATGGAAAACAACTAGATAGCAGATAATCAGTCAATGAGTCAAACAATTTAACACCCTGGCAGGTGGCCAGCTTGGGTCCACTCTCCAAAATTCTTTTCATCGTTTAAAAGACGATAAGATGGTAATTTCTGATACCAGAATCACCCATACAAGAGTGAATACAGTTAATAAAGCCACAACACTCACCTTGAGCTCCAGGCAACAGTCAGGTAGCATAATTGATGTCATGAGCCTAATTTTGGGACAATATCTGGGCTCAAGGACATGATGTACGCTATAGATTTACACAGGCTGATCAGAAGCGTCATGGAATAAAAAGCTTTAGTAGTTGATAAATTGAGCAAGGACTTTTTTCATTTTGAGCATGACAATTTTAAGCAAGGCTGCTAGTTACATGGTGGGAATGGCTTATTTTGATCAAGGGGTGCTAACCTTTATTTATTTATGGGCTCTGCTTACAGCACCAGATCCCAGGAGGGCTTGAGCAACAGCCAATTAAAAGCAAATCTTTGCAAAATGTCCTCCCAAGGAAACTACAAGACATAATTGTCTAAAACAAGGAAAACTCAAAAAGAAGAGGGGAGGGAACCGTTATTTCTGTCGTGACAGTTTTATTTATTTATTTTAATCTTGATGTTTACGTGGTTTGCCTTTTTTAATCTTCAGTTTTATGAGGAGTGCCTTTATCCAGACATTGGAAGTAAACTCTCTTCAGTTACTGGAAGATATTAAACTTGTTAATGAAATTAACGAAATGTGATTCCTTTTGTTAAATCAGCAGAGGTTCATCCCAGACTTCAGCTTCTTGGACCATAACTTATATTTTATATATCTGTATATATACACTTCCCCACCCCTTTGGAGAAATTAATGAAAAGGCTTAGTATTTTTTTAACTGTTTTATTGCTGACTGGGTGGCAAAGGAACATGCCTTATGGTTTGGATGATTAGGAAAAATAGATAATAGAAAAAAATTGTTTTTGTAACCATGAAGTATGAGGTAATTTTGTATGTGTACTTAATAATTGTAAAGAAACTTGGAAGGTTCTTTCTTTCTTTCTTTCTTTCTTTCTTTCTTTCTTTCTTTCTTTCTTTCTTTCTTTCTTTCTTTCTTCTTTCTTTCTTCACTTTTGGGTTTTTCTCTGTTACCTGATCCTTTTTACTCCTTTCTTTTTACTTTACATTAGTCCTTGTTAGTTTTTATCCCCTGTTTAAAATATTTAATAAAAAGTATTTTTTAAAAAGTATTTTTTTTAAGCATCATTGTCACTTCAGCCTATTTCAGGATACAGGCACCCATACTCTAATCACCTCCCGTCTTGACTACCGCAATACCCTCTAAATTGGACTGCACTAAAAAAGTATCCAGAAGCTTCAATTGGTTCAAATTGCAGTGGCCCGCATGGTGCAAACTTAGATTCGCACTTGTATCACCACTTTTGCGGGAGCTGCATTGGCTGCTGATGTGGTGGTGGTGGTGGTGGTTGTCACCTTTAAAGCCCTACCTGGCCTCTGGCCTGGTTATTTGAAGGGCCATCTTTCCCCAGTTATACCTGACCCACCAAAGCCGAGAGGCACAGTGGGTCTTATCCCTTCGCTTAAGGAGCTCCCCCTGGTGGGACTGAGAAGAAGGTCCTTCTCCGTGGTGGCTCCCTTCCTGATGAACCTCATCCCTCCAGAAATAAGTTTGGCCACATGCTTTCAAAAGGCCTGAAGATGTAGTTTTGCCAATGGGCCTGGGGATCCCACAGTAATATGAGCCCAAGTGCTTGGTTTGATAGTTGTCACCAGACGGATGGGGGTTTATTGACTTTTGTATTGGAGATTTATTTTTTTTAAGCCTCCTGGAGTCACCCTAAGTAAGAAGAAACTGGACAGCCATTTTTCCGAAATGGTATAGGGTTTCCTGCCTGAGCAGGAGGTTGGACTAGATGACCTCTGAGGTCCCTTCCAACTTTATCATCATCATCATCATCATCATCATCATCATCATTATTATTATTATTATTATTATTATTATTATTATTAGGTTTTATGGAACCTTGAACATTAACCTGGCATAGATACTACTCAGGTTTAGCTGAAAGTAAATCTGACAACGAAGGTTTCTAATCCAGTGATTTATCTCTAGTAAGTGCAATGTGTCCCGCCCATTTTCTATAGACATTTTAGGACTGATAAAGACTTCCAAGTATGAGAAGGCTATGAAAAAAAATCTCTTGCTGCATTTATGTTATTTAATAACAACGTTAAATACAATTGTTAAGATGGTCTGGCAAACTTTTCAAGAGCTGTTTTCCTCCCAGATTGCACCTCCCATAATCTTAGCTCTTTATAGGCATAGTGGTTATAGGAACTGAGGCATGTTAGTTCCTATGAGGATAGGACCATTTTGCTTCTTCCAGGAGAGATGCAGTGTAACACTTGGTCTAGACCAGTTTCTCAACATCAGCAATTTTAAGATTGTGGCCTTCAGCTCTCGGAATTCCCTACCCAGCATGCTGGCTGTGGAACTCTGGGAGTTGAAGTCCACACATCTTAAAATTGTCAAAGTTAGGAAATACTGGTCTAGAAGCTGTGAGTCTTATCATCAAACCCCACCGCCCCTTTAAAGTCTTTGTGTAACCTTGGACCAGGCCTCATCTTTCTGTCTAAACTACTTCACAGGTTGGTTGTGAAACAAAAGAAGGATCTTGCCATCCTGAGCTTCTTGGAAGATGGTAGGAGAAAAATAACCACATCACTAATGCCAAGCACCATGATGTTGTCTTTGGCTCTTAATCAGGATAACACTGCTTTTTTCATCCTTGTGTCCTCCTAACCCAACTGGCTTTGTTTGCTAATGAGAACAGATGACAGCTACACTAAGAACAAGTATTCAAAGCCGGCCTAGAGAAAAGCAGACCTGTACCGATAGTCCTCGACTTACAACAATTCATTTAGTGACTGTTCAAAGTTACAACGGCACTGAAAAAAGTGACTTATGACCATTTTTTCACACTTACGACCTTTGCAGCAGCCCCACGATCATGTGATCCAAATTCAGATGCTTTGGTAACTGGTTCATTACTTAACTACCGTTGCTGTGTCCCGAGATCGTGTGATCCACCACCTTGTACGACCTTCTGACAAGCAAAATCAATCAATGAGGGAGCCAGATTCACTTAACAACCCTGTTACTAGCTTATCAACTGCAGTGATTCACTTAACAACTGTGGCAAAAAGAAATGGGTCGCGAAATGGGGCAAAAGGTCACTTAACAAATGTCTCACTTAACGAGAGAAATTTGGGGGGGCAATTATGTCGATAAGTCGAGGACCGCCTGTAGCTTGCCAACTATTAAGCAGCAGAAAGGCTGAAGAGGTTGGGCGCTAGGACCTGGAAGCGCTTTGCTCAGAATTGGTCCCCCCACCCCTCTGCTGGAAGCAGAAGGCATCATCAGAGCCGCTTGGAGCATCCTTGCTGCGCATCTATTGCTACAGAAATATGGCCAGCCAGACTCAGGGAATTCAGCAGCTGCTCCAGGCAGAGAAGAGGGCTGCGGAGAAGGTGGCCGAGGCTCGAAAACGTGAGTTGGAGCTCCTGGTTGTTAGGGAAGGTGCTGGCTGAGACGTGGGGTGGAGGCTGACAAGCAACGTACTCACGTTCTCAGGCAGCGTCTTTCAGTTTCTCGTGGAGAGGAATGGCAGGGATCTTTTGAGGAATGCCAGGCCTTGAAAGGTCATCTCTGCCTTGTCCTTGGACCTCTTTTTCTCCATCCCAGGAAAGGCCAGGCGGCTGAAGCAGGCCAAAGAAGAAGCCCAGGCTGAAATTGAGCAGTATCGCTTGGAGCGTGAGAGAGAATTCCAGCAAAAACAACAGGCGGTGAGATAAAAGGGTTGGGGCTTACTTAAGCCCTGGAGTGATGGAAAACTGACGATGGAAAACAGAGAAAGGGTGACCTGGGGAGGGGAATAAAAGATGAGAAGGGGATGGGGATGATGGAGTCGGAGCTTCTAAGGTTGCATGATGGGAATTTGGAGAGGAGGAAGAGAGAAGTGTGGGGGGGTATACAGAAGTCTGGATAGTGTTTCTCAACCTTGACAATTTTAAGGCACGTGGACTTCAACTACCAGAATTCCACAGCCAGCATTGCTGGTTGTGGAATTCTGGGAGTTGAAGTCCACATGCCTTAAAATTGTCAAGGTTGAGAAACACTGGGATAGAGGAAGCCTGGAGTTGGGGCAGGCTTTACACATTTCATTGCAATTTAGCATAGGCAGTTTTGCATCAAGATCAAGCTTTCTGATTTAAGACCTCTTGGGTGAGCCCCAAATGTCTTGCTTCCCACTGAAGTCAAGGTATGTAAGGCCATTAATCTGGCTATTTCGAAAACAAAATACAAATAATTTCCCAAATAGAAATGCATCTAAAGATGGAATGGAATCTGTGGGTGAGGAAGAGATGCTACCTAGGAAACAGTCAGGCAAGCGAATCAGGCAACCCCCAAAGGTCAGAGGAAGAAACTTAAGAAAGACCTTCTCTAATGGATTAAGCATTAAAAAATGGTGGTGAGAAGTTTGTACTTTCAGACTTACAAATTTACATTAATGTAGCCTTATAATAAAACCTTTACGATAAAGTAGATTTGTCTCATCTAGCTCAGGGCTTTTCAACCTTTTCATCTATTGTGCCACTTTGAGGATATGGCAACATCTGAGTACCACCAGTCGCCTAGCAAGGTGTCAAAAACTTGACCAAAAAAAAAAGGAAAATAGTAATAAAGTATAGGTAGTCCTCGACTTACAACAGTTCGCTTAGTGACTGTTCGAAGTTACAATGGCACTGAAAAAGTGTCCCCCAAGCCACAGCCGAGCAAGACACCTGCCTGCCCACCCGGCGGCACTCTTCCTCCTGTCCGAGGTTTTCATTGTTGTGAGCATTTCTGTTGAAGATTGGCAGCGGGGGTGGGGGTGGTGGAGGTGTTTGGTTTTTATTCCCGTCTGCTGGGTGGTTGCAGCAGGTTTTGGTCACTTCACATGACCCTGGGACACTGTGACCGTCATAAATATGAATCAGTTGCCAAGCATCTGAATGTAAATCACAAGACCCTGGAGATGCTGCAACATTCCAGCTGATCGGCGCTTCTTCTGAGCTCAGCAGAAGCACCAGGATCAGCGCCGAGCTCCAGCTGGAGCCTGGCGCTGATCCCGGCGCTTCCACTGAGCCCTGACAGCCCCGAAGAAGCGTTGATCAGCTGGAAAGCGGCACTGATCCTGGCGCTTCCGCTGAGCCCTGACAGCCCTGCAGCTCCAGCCGTCTCTCGCTCAGGCTTGTGCGGTGCTGCCACCGGTTCAGCTCATTTTCCTCCCCCGCTACCACTTTTCTAGGATGGTCGCATACCACCTGCCAGGTGCCAATGTACCACAGGTGGTACCCGTACCACTGGTTGAAAAGCTATGATCCAGCTCATCTAGCTGTATTTCCTGTCTGGATTATTTGGGAAAGATAACTCTTTGCTGCTCAAACATGTCTCCCCAAATCCTCTGTCAAAGTTGCCCACCTCACTCCACCCATCAGTAGAGCCGATCTAAGAATGTTTCAAGATCATCCCTAGATCTGTGAGATATGAGGATTAGATCACCTGATCACCTGATCTTCCGGCCTGGAAAGGTCATAAGGCACTAGCCTTGCCCAAGCAAGACTATTAACATTGTTGACAGAATAAGATTTTTTTTAAAAAATGGTATTTATTCTTTGTCGTTGAGCAGTGCCTTTGGTGTTGCCTTATTGCCTCACTAGCTATTAACAGTACAGTACAGATTTACAGTACAGATTGTCCTCGATTTACAACAGGTGACTTAATTGTTTGAAATTACAGCAGACTCAAAAAAAAAGTTCCTTATGATCAATCCTCAAAGTTACAACTGCTACACAACCCCTGCAACCACATGGTTGCATTTCAGGCACTAGGCTACTGGCTCAGATTTATCCCCAGTTGTGTGATCACATGTTGTGAAGCTTTCTACCGTTGTCCAGCAGAAAGAGCAAAAAAATGCCAATTGGATAAAATGGGTTTCACACTTACAACCATCTGGTTTGGTTAATCACCACGTGGTTTGCTTAACCATCATGGTTCCCATCATTGTTTAGCAACCATGGGAAAAACAATTATAAAATCAAGTCATATCACACAAGGTTCTTCAACTTATCACCCCAATAACTTATAACTGAAATTCTGATCCCAGGTGTATACAGGTAGTCCTCCAGAATTTATGTTGCTAAGTGAGAAATTTGTTAAGTGAATTTTGTCCCCTTTTTATGACTTTTCTTGCCACATTTGTTAAGTGAATCGCTGCAGGTGTTAAGTTAGTAACACGATTGTTAAGTGAATCTGGCTTCCCCATGGACTTTGCTTGTCAGACGGTCGCAAAAGATGATCACATGACTCTGGGACACTGCAACTGTCATAAATATGAACCAGCTGCCAAGCATCTGAATGTAAATCACGTGACCGTGGGGATGCTGCAACAGTCATAAGTGTGAAAAATGGTCATGTCACTTTTTTTGGTGCTGTTGTAACTTTGAATGGTCACTAAGTGAGCTGTTGTAAATTGAGGACTAATGGTACATGTGTCACAGTTGGGCGTACTCGGTGGAAGCGAGGGCAGCAGAGAGTACATTTCTGTGAAGGATCCTTGGTGCTCTCTGAGCTTGGTTGTTTTTTTGCAGACGTTTCATTACTCAAACTAGGTAACGTCATCAGTGCTAGTAGTTGTGATGCGAGATAGTCGGACTACCAGCACTGATGTTACCTAGTTTGAGTAATGAAAGGTCTGCAGGAAAACAACCAAGCTCAGAGAGCACCAAGGACCCCTCATGTCCACCCTGAGCTACAAATATTCTCCTTTATTAGTACCACATATGGGCCTCAAATGCTTCAGACAGCACGCACTAGCACTGATGACATTACCTAGTTGGGTAACGAAACGTCTGCAAGAAAACAACCAAGCTCAGAGAGCACCAAGGACCCCACAGTTCAACCCTGAAGTACAAAATATTCTCCTTTATTGGTACCTTTATTATTGGACAGCCATGAATTGTAGGAAGCATGACAAGGAAGCCACGGAGAACCAGGTCTGTAATTTCAGACATTTTGGGGGGCTCATTCCATTTCAAAATAAGTATACGAAGCCTATTGGAAGCTGAATTGACTATACTTTTAATTTTGTAGCGGGAAATTGTGTTACTGTTCCATACTAAATTGCCGAGAATTTCTACAGTTTCCTATCGGAACACGCTGAATTGTCCTATCCTGGTGGAAAGGAAGAAACGTATTCAGTTGTTATTTGGAGTACTGGATTCATTTCAGATTAAATTTCCTTATTTGAGCTTTTCCCTTTACAGGTAGTCCTGGACTTACGACCAGAACTGAGCCCAAAATTTCCGTCATTAAGTGAGGCATTTGTTAAGTGAGTTTTGCCCCGTTTTACGGCCTTTCTTGCCACAGTTATCAAGTGAATCACTGCAGTTGATAAGTTAGAAACCCGGTTGTTAAGTGAATCTGGCTTCCTCGTTGACTTTGCTTGTCAGGAGGTCGCAAAAGGGGCTCACGTGACCCCCAAGACGGTCATAAGTGTGAACCAGTTGCCAAGCGTCTGAATTGTGATCACCCGGTCACGGGGATGTGGCAAAAGTCGTATCTGTGAAAAACGGTCATGTCCCTTTTTTCAATGCGGTTGTAACTTCGACTGGTCGTTAAATGAACTGTTGTTATTTGAGGACTACCCGTATTCGTGCTTCATTTCTCATTATTTTGGAACAACCTTGATTTTTTTTTTCTTCTCCAGGCGCTGGGCTCGCAGGGGAATCTTTCCGCAGAGGTGGAAGCTCAGACCCGCAAGAAGCTGCAAGCTATGCATGGAGGGCAGGCTCGGGGCAAGGACCAGGTCTTGCGTCACCTTCTCATCACTGTGTGGAATGTGCAACCCCAAATTCACCCCAATTTCCGCCTGGCTGTCTAAAGAGCCTAGTGCCCCTGCCGGCAGTTGTCTGGGAGACTTCTGATGTACTCCTTATTCTATACATTTTAGATCCCCAAGTGCCCGATTTCCCTGTTTCCACCTAATTCCCACAGCACTGTCTTATGCCTAAGGATATTTACCCATGTAGTAGGGCTATACTACTATTATCCTTCTCATTCTTTCCTCCTACCTTCTCCTACTGGTATCACGTGACTGTATTATTTTGTTGTTTGTATGTATGCGGAGAGGTTATGCACCGGAGATAAATTCCTGGTGTGTCCAATCACATTTGGCCAATAAAGAATATTGTCAACGCTGCTAACATCGGATGTTCTTGCTTTGACAACAGATGGAAATGTAGCCATCTTTTCTCTTTTGCTTTTAGAGTTAGATGATGCTGGGAGGGGGGATGTGGATGAGAGTCCAGTTAGTCATAACAATAATAATTCAGCTGTGGGAATCAAGGTTATTGCGCCCAGAGCTGATAAAGATTTGATGGGCTGGAGAGCTAGGGAGAAAGTTGGGAATGTGATTTATGACAGTTAATTGGAGGAGGGAATTGTGCTTTCCTACTTTGTGCCCAAGGGAGGGGAATTCAGTTTTTGGCTTTAACTATGTAGTGCCGATACTTTGTTTCTCGAATAAAAGATTCTTTAAGGTAAACAATGCCTCAAAGTTCTTTTAAAGAATTTCATCTGTCGGAACCATGACATTAAGACAAATATTCTATATTCTATAGCCTCATTGAATCTTTCTTTTCCCAGAAGCTTCCCATTCGTCATTTATTGTATCTTGAATCAAGGCTGTGAATTGCACTTCACAAGAGGCAGGAGTATTAGGTATGGTTGTCGTCTTGAATTATTATTTAATTATTAAAATAATTAGTCTGCCCAACAGATGCCAAAGAAAGCAATCGCCTTTCCATTTGTTCTGGACACTGACCACACTCTTCATATGAAGACACGCACACATTTTCAAAGAACATCTATAAGTTATTCTCTATTCCCCAGGATTGCAGGTAGTCCTCGACTTAGAATCGTAAGTTGTGATGGTCATTAAGCGGGTCATCATGCGACTTCTTCTGATTTTATGATTTTTTTTGTTTTGCGATGGTCATTAAGCAAATGCCAAATGGGTCATAAGGTGAACCCATTATTTGCTGTGGCCATTTTTGCTAGAATTAAACACTGGTTTCCAACAAAAGTGGCGTAACTCACAGTTACATGTCTGCAGGATGCTGCAAACAGCTATCAGCAGGCCAATTGTCACAAGCACCCAAAATGCGATCATATGGCCACAGGTGCGTGCATATGCCCACAGTGGTTAGAATGCAGTATTGCAGGCTAACTCTGCCCATAGCCTGGAGTTCGATTCTGAACGGCTCAAGGTTGACTTAGCCTTCCATCCTTCTGAGGTCAGTAAAATGAGGACTCAAATTGTTGGGGCGGGGGGAATATGCTGACAATTTGCCCAGAGAGTTCTGTAAAGCTCTACGGAATGGTACATAAGTCTAAGTGCTATTGCTATGCGCCCATCAGAACCTTGAATCCAGACTGTCACTTTTTCAGGCTCCGTCGGGACTTTGAGTAGCCATTTAGCAACTGGTCATAAGTAGAGGACTACCTGTAGTTTGTTTGTTTTTGGCTTAGTTTTCATTTTTAAAGGGGCTGTAGAGTCCGAAGACCTGATCTGCCCAAAAAGGTCCACTTTCTTTCACAACCCAGTGCTGGATCTTTCCTTCCATATTGCACTCCCTTGTGGCATGAAAGGGTATGTCTAGAAATGTGAAGGTTTCAAGATTACCATTGTGTTACCTGCTACATGTATTTGTGTGCTGAGGCTGAGAGATTCTATTTCTGCTCTGTTGTACCCTGCTTAATTTGTTTCCTTCCTACGATCTCAAAAATCCTGTTTATCCGTAACTGAACAGTTCAATAAAAGTGGCAGGCAGTTAAACCAGGAAAACAAATTGTGGTGTGTTTTTTTTTGTGCCAGCTCTGCAATAGGAGGGATATTTGTCTCGTTAGTTTAAACATTTAGGCAAGAAAAACCAAATGTACAGGTATAGTATAGGGGGTACCTTGCTCAATAGAGTGAGCAGGGATCTCGGAGTCCTAGTGGACAATCACTTAAATATGAGCCAGCAGTGTGTTGCAGCTGCCAAAAAAGCCAACACAGTGCTAGGCTGCATTAACAGAGGGATAGAATCAAGATCACGTGAAGTATTAATACCACTTTACAATGCCTTGGTAAGGCCACACTTGGAATACTGCATCCAGTTTTGGTCACCACGATGTAAAAAAGATGCTGAAACTCTAGAAAGAGTACAGAGAAGAGCAACAAAGATGATTAGGGGACTGGAGGCTAAAACATATAAGGAACGATTGCTGGAATTGCGTATGTCTAGTTTAACAAAGAGAAGGACTAGGGGTGACATGATAGCAATGTTCCAATATCTCAGGGGCTGCCACAAAGAAGAGGGAGTCAAGCTAAAAAAAAAAAAAAAAAAAAGCTATTCTCCAAGGCGCCTGAGGGCAGGACAAGAAGCAACGGATGGAAACTGATCAAGGAGAGAAGCAACCTAGAACTAAGGAGAAACTTCCTGACAGTTAGAACAATTAACCAATGGAACAACCTGCCTCCAGAAGCGGTGAATGCTCCAACACTGGAAGTTTTTAAGAAGAGACTGGACAGCCATTTGTCCAAAATGGTATAGGGTTTCCTGCCTGAGCAGGGGCTTGGACTCAATGACCTCCAAGGTCCCTTCCAACTTTATTATTATTATTTTTCATGTGAACTGGCTGCTCCTTCCAACATAGCAAGATTTCTCTTTCTTAATTGGGCATCTTCCAAACGTTTTGCAATTCATCTCCCCTTGTCTCCCACTAGTATAGACTGCTCTCTGGGCAATGCAATTTGGGGCACCAGATTAGGGAAATCTGGCACGCACATCTTAAGCAATTAAAAAGATTTTAAACCCATATAAGACAAATGCAAAAAAAAAAAAGGTTCAAGATATCCAAACACAGAGAAAACAATCCAGAACTTACAACAAAGCAGGGTTTTTTAATACACCCAAAAAGATCCAGTCTGGTAGGAATCCTTCAGATGGAACGAAATCCTGGAGAAGGAGGGAATGACACCTGGGATGGAAGAATAACAGAATAACAGAGTTAGAAGGGACCCTGGAGGTCTTCTAGTCTAACCCCCTGCTCAAGCAAGAAACCATTTCAGATGAATGATTGTCTAATCTCTTCTTAAAAACCTCCACTGTTGGAGCACCCACAATTTCTGGAAGCAAATCGTTCCACTGATTGATTGTTCTCACTGTCAGGAATTTTTTTCTTAGTTCTAGGTTGCTTCTCTCCTTGGTTAGTTTCCATCCATTGCTTCTTGTTCTACCTTCAGGTGCTTTGGAGAATCTTCTTTGCGGCAGTTCCTGAGATATTGAAACACTGCTATCATGTCACCCCTAGTCCTTCTTTTCATTAGGCTAGACCAGTGATGGTGAACCTTTTAGAGACCGAGTGCCCAAAAACTGGTGCCGCCCCCACTCCACCCCCTGCCACGCCCCTGCTCCACCCCCCATCCCCTGCCCCACCTGCCCGCAGGGCCACTCACCGCCTCCAGGGCTCGCCACAGATCGCCCAGGCAGCCCAGCAGCGCAATGGCGGTCATGCCCTCTACCCGCACCCTGCAGCATCAACTGTGCACGATGGGGTGTGAGGGCAGAGTCTTGTCTATGCTGCCTGGCTGCCATGTCCTTGACTGTGCTGCTCCGTGTGGGCCACGCTCAGGGGCGACTCTCCTTCTTGGGGGCTGCTGGAGAGGAGGGGGTCACGGGGGGAGGCAAGGCTGGGCCAACGGCAAGTGTGCCCACAGAGATGGCTCCGAGTTGCCTCTGGCACCCGTGCCATAGGTTCGCCACCACTGGACTAGACATACCCAATTCCTACAAGATATACGTTTTGTGTATTTGCAGCTGAATTGTGAGCTGAATTCAAGAAGAATTTGCAGGCAATATTGGGATGGTGTGTCAGGTAGAAGGAAGGAAATAAAAAAAAAAGATGGAAAGAAACAGATTTTGTTGCTAAGAGATGAGATGAAATACACACCTGCCAATTAATGTGAAGAGATAGATAACAGATGGTTAATTTAAACAAAACTTCCTTCAACTCAGTGTTTTCTGGTAGGGAGTCATGGAGACGGCCTTAATGAACCTTTTGTTCAGAAACCATTAGAAAAACACAATTCAGAGAAACGTGCCTGGAGCCCAGGAGAAGAAAAAGTATTAGGTCAGCACCTTCCTGATTTCTTGGATTATAAGAAAGAGGGGAATAAAAATGCAACTGGGCATGTAAGATTTTGTTACTACTGTATATCCCAGGGGTATGCTGATAAATGTTTAAGAACTCGTTCTGCCAACTCCACCGCCGCCTTGGCGCCATGCCACTAGCTAATGGAACAGCCAATTAGCATATTAAGCATCATCATTAAGCTCTGCTTTCTTCCAGCTTGCAAAATTCCCAAAATTGTAACCATAAGGCCAGCTCCAACACACAATTACTATAGTTTAATTTAACGAAGTATAGTTCTAGCATTCTTCTGTGTTGGTTTCCTATCCTGATTCTTAAAGGTCTCTGGATGTGTAGGACTATACTTCTTATCATTTGCAGCTAGCATGCCCACTGTTTTCATGACCATATCTTAATAAAAGTTATTATGTAAGTCTACATCTAGGAGTCCAAGTGAACCGCCACTTATGTATGAGCCAGCAGTGTGCTACAGCTGCCCAAAAATCCAATGCAGTCATAGGTTACTTCAACAGAAGGATAGCGTCAACATCATGTATTAGTATTAGTACTGCTTTATACTGCACTGGTAAGACCACACTTGGAATACAATGCATTGAGGAAGACTGGATTAATAACTAAGATTTATTATTTGGGGCAGAGGTTCAGCATCATGGCTGCACCCCAAAGTCATAGCCAGTGATAATGGAAAGAAAATGCCAATAGGCATTTGTTAAGTGAGTTTTGCCCCATTTTACAACCTTTCCTGACACAGTTGTTAAGTGAATCACTGCAGTTGTTTAGTTAGTCACACAGTTGTTAAACGAATCTGGCTTCCCCATTGACTTTGCTTGTCAGAAGGTTGCAAAAGGTGATCACATGATCCTGGGACACTTGCTACCATCATAAATATGAATCAGTTGCCACAAAGCAGAGGGAGTCAAGCTATTCTCCAAAGCACCTGAAGGCAGGACAAGAAGCAACGGATGGAACTAACCAAAGAGAGAAGCAACCTAGAACTAAGGAGAAATTTCCTGACAGTTAAAACAATTAATCAGTGGAACAACCTGCCTCCAGAAGTTGTGAGTGCTCCAACACTGGAAGTTTTTAAGAAGAGACTGGACAGCCATTTGTCTGAAATGGTATAGGCCAGGCATGTCAAACTGCCGGCCCGTGGGCTGGATGCGTCACGCTGAAACCGCGCCCACCCCATTGCTGGCAATGGGGAAAAAATCCCGATACGTCACACGACGTCACGAGTTTGACATGCCTGGTATAGGCTTTCCTGCCTGAGCAGGGGTTGGACTGGATGACCTCCAAGGTCCCTTCCAACTTTATTATTATTATATAATAACAAAAAGTTGCCAAAGCATCTGAATTTTGATCACGTGACTAAGGGGATGCTGCAATGGTCGTGTGAAAAATAAGTCACTTTTTTCAGGGATGTTGCAACTTTGAATGGTCACTAAATGAACTGTTGTAAGTCGAGGACTAGCTATAATTCCCTTCCCGGAAGGAGCCAGAACAACCCAACCTTTTTCAAATGAAATAAATACAATTGATTTAAAGGTGAACCACCACGTGGGTTTACTGACCAATTGCGAACCAGCACAAATTTACTCCCCTCGGGAAGACGACGCCTGCAAAAATCTATTCCAAGGATCCTGTATTAAAACAGGATTGCACGAAAACTCACGAACAATAGTATCATTTACAAATTATTTTAAAACATTATAGATGTACTTATTTTGAAAGTCTTAAAATATTTGATAAAGTAAATTATTTTTCCAGCTATGAAGAGTATTGACTTAAGATCTTTGCTGAAAGTATTGATTTGAGAGTGAAGAAAGTGTAGGAAAAATTTAAGAGTAAAATGTAAGAAAAAAAATTATATAAAATGTTTGATAGGTATTTAGGTTTTTAAAAATTGTTTTGAGTTTAAATGTTGAAGGTGGATAAATTATACAAATATCATATAGTTTTTGATCAGTTGTATTGTTGTTACTTATTGTATTATTAGAGTTAAAGTATGTATATACTGATTGTATTATCTTTGTTTAGTTAAATTGTTTAAATCTATACCTTACCCTACTCACAATCAGGACATATGGGTTCCGGGAAGTTCAGGGGGGGTAGGGGATTAGGGGAATTATAAACATTGATGTATTTACATTTTATAGATAAATACTTATTGCATTATTTTTTCTTTTTTGTTTATGTACGTAAATGCATCATAATCTTTGTTGTTTAATTATAAAAATCAATAAAAAATTTATTAAGAAAAAAAAACCAGGATTGCACGAAAACTCACGAACAATAGTGTCATTTACACATTATTTTAAAACATTAGAGATGTACTCGTGATGTTTAAATTTGTCTAAATTTATCGGGCACTCAGTTAGACAAAAGCCGCAAAAAAAACCGCGCGGGATCTTCCTCGCAGGTCCCTCCGGTAGCTTCCGCTTACGCCCATCGCCAACGGAAGTCGCTTTCTTTCCGCTGTGATCGCGTCTCGGCGTTACTCGCCGAACCCCCCCTCCCCTTTGTGTAAGGTAAGCTCTTCGACAATCGCCCTTTTATCGGCGCTCCGGTTTAGTCATCCGTCGTATATCGAGGTGGGTACGATTTCTTCGGGCCTTTATCTTTCCGATTCTTTCCTTTGGGGCGGTCATTTTTCCATCCCAGGGCCCAAATGTATGGCTGGAAGCGAGCGGGAGCGTGCGACGTGCTCCCCCGTCATTGTAGTTAAAATCCTGGCATTAAAGATGGCGCCTTTCCTTGCGCGTTGGTTTCGTTTCTTGGGCCGGGTGTAATCGAGAAACATCGGCCACCCGCTACGACGCTCGTCTTTTAGGCCTGCTTCCTTAGATCGAGAGATCCCTTGTGCTTCACCCCAGCCAGGAAACTAATCGACAAACTAGTCTTACAGCTGCAAACGACGGCATTTTTTGTAACGCCCCCCCCCCTCCATTTTGAAACGGGGCCTTATCTGTAAAGGAAAATAAAAAAAATCTGGAGTATAGTCTACATTGTCTTAGAGGCGAAGGCGATGATTCCTGGGTGGGTTTTCCCCCCCACAAGTGGCTTTGCAAATGCTTGATTACATATTTTTACTGGAGTAATTTAAGAATTTTAACTATTGCTAGCCTGAGCATGCTGCGTGGGCTTCCTGTTTATTTTGGAGGCGCTCTTTTTGGATTAAATAATCGTTTTGTGCATCAAATTGTGTTGCCTGCTGAACAACGGAAACGTGTTAGTAACGCATGCTAGTATTCGTAGATCCCGGGTGCGTTGCCCAGAGTGAAATGGATGCCAGGAGCCTAATTCCTTAGTCAATTCCCTGAAGAAATTCCCAGTGTTTGTTTATTTATTTATTTATTTATTATTTATTTATTTATTTATGTATTTGTTAATTAAATTTCTACCCCGCCCTTCTCCCAGCGGACTCAGGGCGGCTTACAGCCATTTAAAACAGGTACACGTGATACAAAACTACTGAATTTAAAATGTCATTAAAATAAAATATTAATTATTGGCCCTTTTCTTGTTAAAATTATGTTAAAACCAAATTGAGATAACCCTTAAATGCACACGTTCTCTTTTCTCCCAAGGTTTCTTCCTGACTCCAGGAAGTGGGCAGAAAAGAAATGGAGGGAAGGTGTTCCTAAGGTTTTCCATACTTGATCATGCTTTTTGATAGCTGATTTCAGCACCGAGGAGGGAGTGAGATTGAGATTTAGTGGGGATTTGCAGATTGCTGCTGCTGCTGAATCTGCCTATTTCAGGAAAAGATGGAAGCTGAGGTGCGCCACATGCTGCTTGAACTGTTGTTGCGGTACAGTAGGTAGTCCTCGAGTTACGACCGCAATTGAGAGTCCAAAATGTACGTCGCTAAATGAAACTCATTTGTTTCCCCCCCCCCCATTTTACGACTTTTCTTGCCACAGCTGTTAAGCGAATCACTGCATTTGTTAAGGTGCTTTAAAGTGAATTTGGCTTCCCCATTGCCTTTGCTTGTCAGAAGGTCGCAAAAGGAGATTAGTGACCCTCCCAGGACATTTGCAACTGTCATAAATATTGAACGGGTTGCCAAAACATCTGATTTTTGATCACGCGACCATGGGGGAATGCTGCAACGGTTGGTCGTTAAGTGTGAAAAATGGTCCTAAGCCACCTTTTTCAGTGCTGTTGTAACTTTGAATAGTCACTAAATGAACTGTTGTAAGTGGAGGACTATTTTGATCACGTGACCATGGGGATGCTGCAGCGGTTGGTCGTTAAGTGTGAAAAATGGTCCTGAGCCACTTTTTTCAGTGCTGTTGTAACTTTGAATAGTCACTAAATGAACTGTTGTAAGTGGAGGACTATTTTGATCACGTGACCATGGGGATGCTGCAGCGGTTGGTCGTTAAGTGTGAAAAATGGTCCTAAGCCACCTTTTTCAGTGCTGTTGTAACTTTGAATAGTCACTAAATGAACTGTTGTAAGTGGAGGACTATTTTGATCACTTGACCATGGGGATGCTGCAGCGGTTGGCCGTTAAGTGTGAAAAATGGTCCTAAGCCACCTTTTTCAGTGCTGTTGTAACTTTGAATAGTCACTAAA